AAAGTAACAATGTATTGTTCGATTAATGAAGACATCCGATTGTCAATGAAAAAACATCCGCTAATAATAGCCTTCGTCTCCTTGCGCCATTTACGCGCGACAAGGCACGGGACTCTACAAATTGCTTGATTTGTCAGCAAACGCATCATGAGGGATCCGCGCGGCCTGTTCTGAATGTTTATTCGAGTCTCCCCCTTAATAGCCCCACGAAGACAGGCCGTCACTATCCACTCCGTTAGAGATGCTACTCTTCGTGATACTGACGTTACGAGGAGAAATAAGACATTTATTCACTATATTCTTATTGCCCTTAGCCATCGACGTCCCTCCTTTTTCTTTAGGAAAATTTTTGATGAAAAAAACTCAATCTTTTCCTCACACATGTTTACCTAGGCCAAAACCTATTGACTCTTTTAAATTTCACTTTAGTATTTGATAATCTAGTATATACATAAGTATATATACTTATACTCTCAGTTATATATTTTTTTATGAATCTCTCATACTCTCGCCATTAATTGACTTGCAATAGAAAGTATAGTGGTTTAAAGAATAACATTTAACCATTGTATAATTTTCGATGAAAACTCATTTGTTCTTCCTTTCTATGAAAACTCATTTGTTCAGCTCAAACATTTATAGGCCAAAACTATTTGACAATATATAAAAAATAAATATCTGTAATTAATTTTTAAATGTTATATTCATGAGTGATCCTATACCCATTAACCATTGTATAAATTTATTATTATTTAGCCTACATAAAAATAATAATAATAAAAAAAAAAACAAAAAAAAAAACAAAAAACAAAACTGCCAGGGCGGTGAGGTCTATGCTTTTTGAGAGTAACCTATTGAAAGATTTTCAAAGGATTAATGACGGAGTAAACCATTTAATGAAAAAGAATAAATCAAATGTTGCTTTGAGATTCGGGCCAATCAAATGAATTTTCTTGATATTTACTAAAAATCTCTATTAATCTATCTCAAGCATGATTACATTCTTCCTTGAAAAAAAAAAAGCGATCAATCTTCGTAATAATTTTACTATGCAGCTCATCTTGATATGTTGGTTGGAAGCTTTGGCTATCAACTAAGAGGTTTTTAACATTATTTAGACTTAATGTTAAAAGATGCATTGTTTAAATTTAATGTGAAAAGATGCATTATTTAGGCTTAAGCTTCATTTGAGATAGTTTTAGGCCACTAGTATTTTTCAGCTTTTAAGAAATTTTTGTACTAAAAAATAGATTTACAAAGCAATAAAAAAAGCCACCCCAAACGGAATCTTAATATGAAAAAAACATGCCTAATTTTATCGGGAGTAGGATAACTGCTTATTTAATATACGTAGGAGTTGCCCGCCCTACCTCCACCTAAATTTTTTATCAGATTTTCCATTAATTATTCTGTGCGTCAGCCAAACACAGTCCGAAGATCAACCAAAAATGTGCCACATCACCCCTTGCTCGGTATCGCTGCTCGGTACTGCTGACGTGGCACATTCTGGTTGGTCTCCGGATGACGTTTTATGTGTGATCTCTGCACAAAATAATTTCTTCAGATTTTCACATATATTCTAATGATGAAAAAGAAAAAGTGTTCAAGTGAGAAATAATTTCTACAGGTTTTTTTATGTATTATAAAAATGATTGTGTGATTTTCATGATAGTTGAAGGGGTTGAAACTATCATAATTTTCCTTTCAATGTAGAGATAGATTCTATTAACTTTTTCTTTGTTTAATCTCGCAGTTTCTTTTATGCAATAATGTTCAAAATTTGTGTTTGCTCATTTATATTGGATTATTGATTATATTTATGTAGGCATCGGACCACCACTCAATCATTACCATTAGATATTATCAAACTATCGAAAATTTCATTTATATTGGATTATTGATTATATTTATGTAATCACTGCCCATGCATGTTGACCGTCACCAGACTCACCACCTAACCTTTATTATCAGACACCTCTACCTCCAGACCATTATCCCCATCACCGTTATCGTATCACCACCACTATAATCTTTTATTGGGCATTCCTCATTGAACCTCCAACAATATAACACCAATGTCGAACAATCATGACTTAACCATCATAGTCTGACTTCTACTAGTTCAACACTATCATCAAAGCATCAATGCCCGACCTCGAATATCTGATCATCACAACCTAATCACCATCATCAAATCACTAACACTTGGTCACAAATCATTCGAATGCTTCTAATCCTCTATTAACATTTCTTATCAGTAACTCATACTCTTGTTATATCATATTTTCCAATTTTAGGGATGGGCAACTTTTTATAATCAATGCCTCTATAATGGAGTTATTTTTATCTGGCCTCGCCTTATGATTTTGCCCCTCCTATAATTTCAATATAAAGTCCGATTGCTCTTACATTCTCTAATTATTTATTTATTTTGTTTATGAATGTGTTGCATCTTTACATAAAATTAAAATGCAAAACTTTCTAACTCTGCTCATACAAATTTTTAGTACGCGACATATCAAAATTGAGAACTTTTATTAGGTCCGATGTAAGGACGTAGAGGAACGTCCGGTCGGAGGCAAAATCCGGCTAAAAAACTCGGTATTTGCTCGGTATTGCTAGGTATTATTTGATAATAACGAGGAATACCGCTCTATGAAGACCAATACCGAGTTATACCGAGCTATACCGAGCAATACCGAGTTGTACCGAGTTTTTTCTGGGAAAAACTCGGTACAACTTTTGTATAACTCGATATTGCTCGGTATATCTCGGTATAACTCGGTATTGGGTCTTCACGTGATGATATTCCTCTTTATTGTTTGGTATTGCTCGGTATTTCTTGTTTTTTGACGCAATTTGGCCTCCGACCGGACGTGGGAGGACGTAATAATTGTTCCAAAATTGAAAGGGAAAAATGCCAGTTGTTAGATAAACTTTCTGAAAAATATTTATTTATTTTTTATCATACCTTAATTTTCCTTGGTGGCTCTCTAATGGTTTTAAAAAAAAAATGCCAGTTGTTAGATAAAGTTTTGTTCGCCTGCACCACTGCATGTCCAGTCCTTTTTCGGCATTTTTTATATCCTTAAAAAATAAATTTTCAGACATTTTATATTCAATACATTTTTATAAGATATATAGTATGAGGCTCTAAATTACAGGACAAATGATACATCAAAAAAAAAAAAAATCATCCAATGAAGTATGAATATTAATAAAATATTTGGATTGAAAACTTCTTAAATTAATTTCTGAATCATTTGAACTCTGACTAGTCGGACTAAAACTTTTAATCAGATACATCCAAAAATACTAAAAGATATCTGATGTAACTTCAAATGAGCCAAAATCAAGAAGTATAATTGAAAAAATTGTGTTCTTGATGTTATTGATGATGAAAGGCAACAAGGTCGACAGATGTCGATGTTAGTATCAATGATGTGCATTGACATTATTAGAAATAATGTATTTTGATTTTGTTTGTGACAGTGGGAAGCAAAGTCAGCTTGCAACGATGTTGGGTATCGATATGATGAGCATTGATCTTATTGATGATAGTGTGTGTCGATGTTGTTGGTGATGGCACGCATCGGTACTGGTTTAGAAGGAGGGCATCAGCCTAATTGGTGACTTTGTCAACATTGGCATCAATGACGTGCATTGGCCATATGGTGGGTGCCAAAATCAATGAGCATCGATGTTGGCCCTAATGATATGCACCAACTTTATTTGTGATATTGTGCATCATTGTTGGTGTTGATGACATTCAACAGCCTTACGAACAATAAAGTGTGTTAATGCTAATGTTGGAGGCATGCTTCAACCTTGTACACAATGGGTTGAAGTCAGATGATATGGTTAGGAAAGGCATGTATTAACATTAGTGTTAACGGTGCACATCAACCTTATCAGCAATGTCATGGGCTAACATTTGTGTCAATGACATGCATCACTAATAGTGTTGGCAATGTTCATCAATCTTGATAGTGATTGTGTGCATCATTGTTAATGTAGATGTTTTGCAAAAGGTGACAGTAGTTTGCAGACAGTAGTCTAGAAATATTATTCAAACAATGATGGCTGACAACAATAATTGGGAAATAATAGTTGGACAATGGTGATCAACAACGTTAATTATCAAAGTGGATTGTTAACGCTTCACGCAGAACTCTCTCTAACTCCTGCTCAAGTTCCATGCCCCACTTCATATAAGAAATGAGGGGTTATTTATAAATTTTTGGAATGACATTTTGATTCTTTTAATTAAAATCCTTAATAATCTATCAAATAGTCTAAGATAATCTCATCAATCCTATTTTTTTTTTTAAAACATTTAAATACCTTAATAACATAAAAATTAGCAATCTTATACTCATTAAAATTTTCAACCTCATTTTAATTGTAAGCACATGAGACTTAGAAATCATCGAGCCCATCAAATTAATAAAGACCATTTTCTTTAGAGTTGAAGCATTAAGAGAATAATACACTTGATAAATTTGCACACATTTTTGTGATATAAACCAGTCATCTTGAACATTGAAATACCTTTACAGATAGACATTAATGTTTGAAATGCCTATTTCACAAACCTCCCAGTTTTACAAAACTACTAAATGAAGACTTATAGTTCTCCAGTGAGGAAAAAACTCTATACCTATGCCACCTTTTATTGTGTTGTAAGCAAAGGCCTGAAGAGAAACTAAAGGCTTCATTTGGAACAATTTTTTAAACAGGGTGGAGCCTTTTTGAGCAGGGGCTGGAAACTCCTGCAGGGTCGAACCCCACCGGAGGGCGTTGCCCCTTTGGACCCTCGACATATATGTCAATAGTTATTTATAAGTTTGCCCCCCCCACAAAGAACATATGGCTGGTTCTGCCCTTGTTTCTAAAACAAATTTTTAGTGCAAAAAAATTTTGAACTAAAAATTTTTGCATTAAAAAATCATTTAAAAAACAATAAAAAAACAATCCAAAACGAAGCCAAAGTTCTAATCTTCTAATGATTCATAAGAAATCTCTTCAATTATTAAAAACTTATCCCATATTTTGGGTTAGTCAAATTATTTCATAATAGTGTAATAGGTTAATATTGTTCATTCAAGACCTGAATTGATAATAACCTGCTATTGAATTATCTGCTAGTGTAGACAAACACTAATGACTTCCCAGATATGTATGCTTCATCGATGCGAGCAAATGATATGAGGACGGCCAACCAACACAATGCCATGTGTAGTAAGCTCCAAAAGCCTTGACAGAGGCCAACGAAGAAGACGTTGCACAATCAAGTTTGAAATATCTTCACCACTACCAAAACAACACAAATGTCGTCTATTAGCAAAACGGATTACACCGGGTCAAGACGAAGCATTTAACACAGAAAAATCGCTTATGCAACTTGAACGAGCGGCCATGAAAAATGACTGTCTACACACGCAAGGAGAAATTATTACGTGCGGAGTCCGAACGTAGAGATATATTTGGACTTCAATAAAATATTGACATGTAGAGTGGATACCTGGATATCCACTTAAAATATTTAATGTGTTCGCGAAACTTTAAGCAAAGCGCAGCAAAAAAGCACAGTCAAAGCACAACTAAAGTGCGACTAAAGCACATGTAAAATACAACTAAAATGCTGGTAAATCGCACAAAAAAAGTGCAACTAAAGCACACTCCACTTATCATATTTTAAGTGGATATCCGGACGTACCTCTACATCTGGTCTACGTCCGAACTCCGCACCTAATAATTTCTCCTACACAGGGCGGATTCAACTCCTTTTTTCAGGTGGGCAAAATTTCAATTAAATAATAATAATAATAATAATAATAATAATAATAATAAATTATCAAAAATTGATAAAATTTAATAATAGTCATGCCAAACAATTTTGAAGTTTTAATTCTCTCAAGATTTACTAAAACCTGTTTAACAATATACTAGGTAAGGAAAAAAGAGAGCTTCAAGAATCATTCCATTTATCACAATCCAATAAAATCAAACAGATACCTAAGGATTACACATTACAGAAACCAACAAAGAACTACAGCTAATCTTTCCTAAAGGATGAGCAATTTGGCAATGAATTAAAACTTTGAAAACTAATAAAATAGAAGTGTATGCAAATTATAACATAATAATAATAATAATAATAATAATAATACCCCCTCTATTAAATTATTTTTTTTCAAGATGGGCATTTGCCGACCCTCACTTGACCGAGGATCCGCCCTTGTCTACAAGGATAACGTTGCAAAAAATTGCTCAAACGTCATCTATTCATGAAATAGACTGTGTCGTTGTGTCCAAAACATCAAAATTATCCAGAAATAACAATCATATGGCTTGGGTTCACGCTCGAGTCAAAATGTAAATTTTGCCCGCACGTGATGCGACGACAGACAATGCGAACAACAAAACATGACACTTGAGCCACATGTCTAAAGCCTCGTTTGGTTCTCCTTAATTTCTCCGTTTTTTATTTAAATCGATGAAAACAATTATAGCGTGTTGTTTGTTAACACGCCTTTTGCATAATCTCTTTTCCTATACCTCCATAATATCACCAATCTCAAAAGAAAAAAAATGTCGCTTACCCAAACTCCGCTTATTCCGTCTCTTTAAAATCCGCTTATGCAAAAGAAATACCGCAACCAAACGAGGCCTAAGAATCCAATGCCAAAAAGTCCCCATGAAAAGGAAAATATGCATGGAGACCAAAGTCTATAGTAGAAAAATTTACTAAGAGAAGAAAAATGCATGACATTTGGTGTGCACTCTCAAACATCCGCCATTAGAGATTCAACAACAATGAGTGTCGAAGAAGGTCATTAATGATAACACCCGTAATGGTCGACATCCTGGAGAATTCTTTTGGGGATCCCATCACCTTCCAACTTCACCTTCTAGGGAAGAAGCCAATTTTGACCTCAATTCCCTGATTGAGGAGCTCTTCATCCCTCACACTGAATCAAGATCTACTGGAGATGCCGCTCAACTTTTAATATGATACCTTGGTAACGGGACTCAAAATCACTATTTCAATAGGAATCTAGATGACTAATATTGTTGGTGATTCTCAGCTTGTTGAAAATCAAGTATTGGCATATACAAGATCAACAAGCTTGAATCAATTTAGTATCATAACTGGGTTCTCAAGCTCAAAAAGAAAATCCTGAATATCACTTTAATTTGAGTCTCCCAAGCTCTGAATAGCAACACAAACTCCCTAGCAAAGTTGGCCAAAGAAATCGAGAGCATGAACAATGAGTATGTGTCAATTATAGTCCGCAATTATCGAGTACTACAAACAACCTTCTCGCAAATCCTATAGCTGGATATTACTCAAGCCAACTAGATATAGCTTTGGGTGATACTCAATCACAATCACAAACTATTTATGAAGGTAGACAAGACAATCCTCAAACTATTCAAAGAAGGCATAAGTCTGATGGAGCATCAGAATTACTAGAGTAGCAAGATGATTGGAGACGATCTTTCATCGTTTACTTCAAAGAAAGCCTACAAATAAAATATTAACTACATGAATTCGAAAAAGGATGTTACGGCATGCATTCACCAATAATGTTATGTGCCGTAGATTCTTTGATCAAACGTGACAACAATATTTATTGACAGAATAAGCTGATAAAATTATGGTCGAAGTTCACAAAAAATGGTATGATGAACGCCAATTAGGTCTCAAAATGACCATCAGCATCAAGAAAATGGATTACTACTAACCATAAATTATGAGAGATTGTATTAAACATGCTAAGTCCATGATAATACACTACACTAACTGCCAAATCTATTGAAATCTACGGTAGCATCATAGTTGTTTGAATGCTAGGGAGGGAACATATATAATTGGCTTGATCCATCCACTATCATAATTTGGACACTACACAAACTTAGGTAACAACTGACTAGTTCTCCAAGTAGGCTCAAGCATCTTTATTTAAGAAAGTCACTGTTGAGCACGTGATCAATTTTTTTGCTCACAATATTTCTATAGATTCGGTGTTCCACATCATATTCTTTCAAATAATTGTTCAGCTCTATAAACATCAAAATAAACAAATTTGTCAATCAACTTAAGGACATTCATCAATATATAATCTAAATGCGAATAGCTTGGCAAAAATTATCAAAAAATATTGATAAAGCTACTCAATAAGCTCATAACCAAGAATAAAAAGGAATGACATATTAAGATGGTAGAGGCATTATGGCCATATCTTATTATCATCTACAAGATGCTAAAAAGAGTCACTCCTTATGCATTAGTGTTTAGAGTCTAAGAAGTTTTATTGCTTGAGGTTAAGTTGTCATCACTTTGAGTAACCATTCAATGTGATCTCACTCAAAATATGCAGGGCCAACTAATTACAACAAACATGATCTACTCTAAACATATACCACATTTATTGGGGCAATTATTGACCTCTATATATATTCTAAAATTAATGCGAGCAAGTGCGATTAGAATGATGACTGATGGTGCATAACAAGCTTAAAAAGCCTTAAGTAACCAACATGTCATTTCAATCAAAGGGCTCTCTCCACCAACTTAGAAAAATAAATCATTTGAAACAGAACTAATGGCTATGTCAGACTATCTCATAGCTCTCTCACAGATCTATAACACTTTTCTCAAAAGTGTTAATCAGCTGCGAAGCATATCTGGTGAGAGCTGTGAACTCTGTCTCATACTACATGACTATCCTGCTCTTCTAAATAAGCCTAAAAGAGTTTCCTTCATCTACTGCCACGTGAACGGAGATTAAAATCAACCATGAAAACTTCTGTAAACTCCTAACTGATCAGGGAGTTCAACCTCCCATGAAACATCTCATTCTATTGGCTCAACCACCAGCACTCTGCCTCACCATCTAAAAGAAAAACAACTAACAGTACCTTCCGCTTAGGAGGACACAGCATCCCATCAAAGGTATTCTTTAGCCTCATTAACCAGTCCTTTGTTGCTCTAGGCCCAACGAAACCCTCAAATCTCAGAGGCTTCAACCTCAAAAACATCTATAAATGCCTATCAACATCATCAAATTTGACAAAGGAAATTCTGTTCTAAGCCTCGCCCATCAGTTGGGCTACAAACTAGCAAACTGAATTAGAACTAATAGCAAAAGTAATACTTTACACTAATCCTACTTGATTGGCACTTTGCCCATCAATCATATTTGGGCATATTAAATCTATGAGAAAACTATACAGGGCACACAACTGAACATACATGCACATAAAAAACAAGCAAAATGAAATACCCAAATATTATCCAAAACTATCTCAATCGACTATAGATCAATTCCTATAGCTCTGTTTCAGAATTGATTCCCTCAAAACTATTGCTCTGATACCAAAAGGACTGTCACAACCTAACATGATATTCTTCAAAAAACAAACCCTTATGACTCCCATACGTATATATCAGAAAATATACCCTTATGACTCCTACTACTAAACACTTACCAGATATTCAGAAATTCATGCACTTATAACTCCCTATGCATTTAACACAAGAACAACACTTTCAGACCATATCAGATCTCCTCTGAAATTAAACAACTCAAACAGAGAGGCATATATATATATATATATATATATATATATAGCATTAAAAAAAGAAATGTAAATAAACCAATATCAAAATTTCACTGAATGTTTCAACAGTAAGCAACATAACTATCTACAAAGTAGAATCTTTATAATTTCATAATATTATCATATTACCAGAGATTATTTAAAACATTATTTTAAATCTTTTATCGTACTATAGCCATATTTTTTGGGACCAAAATTATTTTCTAATTTGCCAAAAATCCTACATTTTTCAATTTACTTGGTAAAAATTTCCCGAATAATATTATTATCTAATTTACCAAAAATCTTATGCAACCCTAATGTTTTATTAAATGCTTATAAGTGGTGTATCTATAATATACAAAAAGTTATACGGTAAAAATTTTGAAGGTATAAAGTTATCTCAGATTTTCCCTAACAGAATTATAAATTAGATTAAGAAAATCACACAACTCTCTCTTTAAAAAAAAAATGAGATAAGCAGCATATAACTTACCTCGAGCCGGATAACTTTCGAAACTGGACTAATAGCAAACAGTGAATCAAAGTTACCCAAACCCAATCCTCTCTCTCTCTCTCTCTCTCTCTCTCCCCCCCAAGCTGACTACTTTGAATGAGAGAAATAGATTTAAACAGTGATAAAAGGGTTATTTTTAATATAAAATTTGGATCTGGCGTTGTAACGCCCAAATCTACACAGCACAACACTCCCCTTAAAGGAGCACGACGCCATAGCGCTGCCACAACGCCGCAACATGCAAATTATTTTGGCCAAAAATAGAGAGCTCAACACCGCAGCATCGCCAAACCCAATGCCACGACTCCCCAAGGGAAAAAATTCATATTTCTCAAACATGCCCACTTCAGTCCAAATTTAGACAATCAGACACGTGTAGAACATTTCTAGACACATGCAAAGGGGTTTTATCACAAAAATTTAGTGAGTTGTGTTTATTAGGTTGGGTCAGAACAAGCGCAATTGTACACGAATTTGATAGGTGTTACAGCCACAACCTTGAGATGCATACCACCGCCTCAAGGAGCATACAAGTGCCTTGAGAACTGCAACACGACACCAAAAAGCATGTAATTTTTTAAAAAAGAAAAAAATATAGTAAAATCACGTATATTAAAAAATGTGCAAATGTGCTATATAAATATAGCAAAATACGTGCAAGCACATAATATGAGTGTACAAAATCGTGCATTAATATATTGAAAGTTTGTGAATGCACCATGTAAGTACACTAAAAATATGCAAAAGCATCGTACAAATGCATCAAAAAGCATGCACAACATTTATAAGGAAAATCAAACTCCCCACATGTGCTCTAACAAATATGCTAAATGCAAAAACATAATGTCTGAGAACATTAGACGAGGTTAAAAGCATGCTAAAAATAATCCCTTTTTGAATTAAATTACATGCATGCGCTCCTACTAAAACATTGAATTCTTAAATTTAAGGTCAAAAATGTTGCAGAGGTAAAAAATCCTCCTCATTGAAAGCACTAAAGTTAACAAGACTTGAATTAATGAATGAATATACAACCTTAAAATCCATCAAGATATTTGACTTTTATATTCGCATTTGGCTTTTAATACTTTTTTTCAAAGAAAAATCATTGCAAAATGCAAATTCTTAAATTTAATTCTAGTATAATAATTCACAAAGTTGACATTTGAACCCAATCCTCTACCAGGAAGTGGGCAAAGTTGATAGTATTCAAATAATAAAATAAAATTATTTTAAAATCCCTGATGATGATTGTGTTGAAAGTTAATCTCAATTAGAGGGGACTCTATTATCAAAGACTTTGTTTGGAGTCATTTTTATATTATTTTCTAAAACAGCTTTCTAGTTTAAAAATTTCTTGAACAAAGCAATGTTTAAAAGCTATCCGAATGAAGTCAAAATGCTACATGAACTCAGATTAAACCCAATCCATTGTTATAAAGTGGGCAGAGTTAACAAAGTTCAAATAGCAAAATGAAAATAATCAAACCCTTCATGATGATGGTTATGTTGAAAAAAAAAAGTCAAGTGAGGAATCCATTTTCAAAAACTAAATTTTAATTTTGTAAATATAAAAAATTTAAGTGACTTCAATATCTCTCTGAAGATGGCTACATTGAAAGTAAATCTCAACTAAATGGATTAATTCTCAAAATCAAAATTTTAGATTACAAATACAAAAATTCTTTTAAGTAGCTTCAATGCTACCCTAATGATGGTCGCATTGACAAAAAATCCTAGCCAAAGGGCACCACATGATTTTCAAATGCCCAAATTTCAAAGTTAATCACTTAGTACTCAAATTTCAATAAAAGTTTAAAATACAATACAACAATAGCACCAAGCCTTTATCCCATTATGCGGGGTCAGCTAAATGAATCCTTTTTCTCCATTATACTATGTTAAGAGTCAAATTTTCATTTAAATCTAATAAAAAATATCAGTTCTAGTTGTTTCTAACCAAGTCTTCTTAGGTCTACCTCTACCTTTCTTAACATAAGCCAAATCTAATGCATCTACTCTCATAACAGGGTTATTAGAAGGCCGTCGTTTTATGTGACCAAACCATCTAAGACGACTCTCTTTAATCTTATCCACAATTGGAGCTACTCTAACCTTTTCATATATATCCTCATTTTGTATCCTATCTCTAAGAGTAAAGCCACTCATACACCTAAGCATCCTTATTTCTGCAACACTTAACTTAATAATATGTCCCTTTTAATGGCCAACATTCTGTATCATTAAGCATTGCAGGTCTCGCCACCATCTTATAGAATTTTCCCTTAAGTTTGAGGGGTGATTATCTATCGCGCAGTAAGCCCGATGTATTCCACCACTTCAACCATCCAACTTGAATTCTACTAATAATATCTCCATCTATTTAACTATCACTCTACACAATAGACCCAATATACCTAAAAATAAACTCTTATTAATGACTTGATCGCCCAAAGTCACAATCCCTCCACTAGATCTATTACTACTAAAATTATACTCCATGTATTCGATTTTATCAAAACTTATCAAAATTTAAAAATTTCAAGTGAAAGATGCTCTAAAAAAACTTAAAAGTAAAAAAATACATCCACCTCGACAACAATTTATCAAGGGTCATAAATTTGAAATAACTTGAACTTAAAAAGAGCCAATACAATATCATAAATATCACTAAGATTTATTTTCAAATAGTCTCTCACAAGTAAAGATGTGGCACATGTCATTTAACCAATGGTCTTACCACCAAAAGGCACTACAAGTAAACAATTATAATTAAGGGTACCGAGATCCTCTTATTAGATAGTTTTATCATAAAAACATACCATTAAATTTAATCACAACCAGGGCTCATCTTTTCCCAACAACTAAAAAACCATGAGTAATTAATCATAATTTATACCTAATACGACATAAAACTCTTTGTTAGTTTATACCCTTAAACAAATATCCCCTATAAATTTATAAGGTACCTTTGGATGAAACAACCAATGGCTACTAATAAGAATTTTTCAATCAAGTTGGATCGACTACCTCCTCTGATAAAATAGACTAGAAATTATGACAATCTAGGATGACAAAACCATGAAATCTTGGTTTAGTTCATCATCATTTCCTCATCATACGCTCTATATGTATGGTGATAAATTTTAAATCCAATATAAACTTTTTTGCCAATATACACTGCATATTTAATGCCTATCTAATGACTAATCCTAATCAAAAGTATTCTTCCATCACTATGAGATGTAATTAATCATAGAGGTTTACGCCTATAAACAACCTAAACTCAAATCTTAAAAATCTAATAAAATGAGGACAGAATCTCTAGATAGTATCTTATCTTCAATTAAATCTGCATTTTGAAAATCTGACCCAAAATATATTTGTTAAAACTCTCCCAAATTCATTAAAGCCCGGGCACAAATTTTTAGAGCCCACAATTAAAATTTTTAAGTAGGCAATTTTCACTACATCTAAAAAAATCAATTTATCTTTTCATGTTGTTTTACCAAGATTTGGTTTCTAAAACTTAATCTATTTGAAATGGCTACAACAAACTGTTTGTTAAAACAATTATTGAATTATTGCGAAAGATCTAAATTAAAAAAAAAAAACTTATTGCGGGTAATATAAATTTTTTTCTCTTCTTAAAAAACGGGACAGATTTTATAGCCACCCCGCTCTATCACATCTAATAGTAAAAACGCATTCCCATCACATAAATTTTTAAGAAAATTGTAAGAAAGTTATATTCAAATAGAAATATCACTTCGTCTAAGAAGATATAGAACAAAATTCTGTCTACTTCAACTATTTTGTACATAATTCATACAAGCATGAGAGAAGACTCCGGACGACTTCTCACCTGATTGAAAAATTCACCTTTCGAGTTTGCTGAGGAAGGCTTCTAGCGGTGGCAGCTCTTTCACAATCTGCTGCCAATCAGGCATGCCCTGCACCGATGTTATCAGAGCTATATCTTCGTCAAACTAATTTTGAATGTTTTATTAGATGTCACAGTAATGATCCTACTAATTATTAAATAATTGTTAACCAATCCATGATTAGTGCTAAGGAAATTTAAGGCTGTTTGAGTAGCTTGCCTTCCCTGATCTTCGAATACGGCCATCCAGTCGCAAAAAAATGTATACATCTTCACCAGGATTAACGCCCTCAGACTTTTGCTGGTCAATTATCCATCTACAAATGAGATAAGATTATAAAAAATATACATAATTAAATAAAGAACAACTTTAAAGCTTCATGTTTCTTGCGAATTAATAATGAATGGCAGTAGCATAAAAGGCATTTATAGTAAGCATTGTTGTCATCTCATCATCATCATTATCATAATTAATTTTATTCGATTTCTTTGGCTTGCCTTTATGGAATCCTTATACACCATTCATGCATATTAAATGCTATATGAGGGATTAACTATTTTGTGCAAATCTCTATTAGCCATACTACCTTCAGAATACCTTCTTTTTTTTTAATAATCTCTTCATACTAATTTCATCCACTGCCTTGCATCTGTTACCCACAACGTATATGTCAAACACACCTAATTGTTCCACTATCATATCCAACATAGATGACATTCCAACCATCTTTCTACTATGATCACTTCCTAATATATCATTTATACTTTTACAATCATATTAGCATTATGCAACACACCTTACGTATCCACCAGCGACTTTTTTAACACTTAAGGGACAGCTTGTTTTGAAGTAAAATGGATGTAAATATTCAAAATGCAAGAGTTTTGAAAATATTGGTGTTAAGAGAGAGCTAGATATTTAATATGATAGAGAACGGAAAGGTTTAAAGCATTAAAGATAAGTGAGAAAAAATATTGAGAAGAGATCGGAGGAAGGAAAAGAGGAGTTATGTGATGGTGGAGATTCAACTCAAAGAAATAGAAGTACTGTTGGGCTATAAATGTGTGTTAATTTCATAGCAATATTAGAAGGTGATTTTTTGAGAAATTAGTGATTTATTATATTAGTTTAATCATCTCTGTTCATTATCTTATATTATTTTATCATGGTTGTCATGAGAAAGTATGGGCTTCCCCTTTTTGACGAGATTGGGTGCAGTTGAGTTTGAGGAAGAGAATTTTCATATGCCCACTTTAACTGTACATATATACGGCTTCACTATAATAAATCAGGTTCTATCTTCTTTTCATTGCTATGGGCTTATTTTAGCTAAACAATTTATTCTAAATATTATAATTTTCTTGTGAAGCTTATTCTCTTTGGTACTACTCTACCAGTTCATCATATTCGCTTATGATTGAAACTTCTGCATGTAAGTTCAGTATTTTTTGTCATTTTTGTGTAATTTTATGGTTCACCAAAATTAATATTTTATAACTACATAAGCGGATTAGTTTCCTCCAAATTAAAATTTCTAGGTTTGAATACGATAGATTGATCCTAATCTACCATGTCTCAAAAGTTCATCAACTCTCAGCCACACTTCAATCTAACACAAACACTAACCATAACCCAAGAGCTTCATAAGTCAAAATTTATTGGCTTTGACCTAGCAGCGATTGCTCTTCCCACCACCTGTTCTCATCCGTACCATGAGCTTTCTTCCTCGCACAAGCTACGGACAGCCTGTCGAGCTCACTCCCATTGGGCGCCACATTTGGCACATTCACGTGAACTCATAGTTGTTGCACAAAGCCTTCACGCTCATGTGCCTTTTGCAATCAATCACATTTAATCACATTTGATCTCCTTCTGCAGCCGCTGCCTAATCATGTTGAGGTTCTCCCGTGCTATTATCGATGGCGGCTAGCAGCATCGTTCTAGCAAAGTTGCTCTTACTACTACTGTCCCTTTCTTGCATGTGTTGTTGGTGACTTCAATGGCAACTCATCTGCAACTTCCAATAGGAGGCTCATCTTCCATCTTGTTGTCTATGGTGTCTTCAATCCCCTTCCCAATGCTACCCAACACTAGCATTATGGCCCAACCTTGTGCTTCATGCTTATTGAATTTTCTCCACCAAAGATCTCTTAATGATCTAACAATTGTTGATGGTTCATTTGCTCCTTCACCCTGGATTCTTCTAGATAATAGCAGATCATCTCCTAATTGATTTATAGTTAAGGGTACAGCAAGATCATCTTCTAGTTTCATCTCATTCTTTCTGAGCGGCGTGAACTCTATGAGACACAAGTTGCACGCTTTATTTCAAAGTAAAGTCGCTCTTACGTTTACTTAGAATACAATTTTTAAACGGTGACTCTTTTTTCTACGTTTTGGTTGAAAAAATTTCCTTTGATCATCCAAGTTTGGAGATAATTCATTCCTTAATGATTGATCTTCATTTGATTGTTGTTCACTATCACGTACTTATCAAATTATATTCGAAAGCATGTTACTCGATAATTTAGAGCTCATATTATGTGAATGGTCTGCCAAGACGTACGCTGAAGTGGTCTTCATATTTTGATACATCAGATTCTTCTATTACCCCACTTTGGGTTGTATTACCTCGCATTTATGTCCACAACAGCAACAAATCTAAATCATACTCTTTAGGATCATTTTTTTGGAAATCAATTCAAGTTGATGCTACTACTGCCAAACTCTCCTAGCAATCTATGGCCTGAGTTCTTGTTGAGATAGATGTGCCAGCTCCTTTAACTAGAGAGGTAGCAATTGATGCTTCTTCGTACGGTTCTCGGAAAAAAAAAATGAATTTGAGGGTTTGCCCTCATATTATCAATCGTGAATAATTTTCAAGCATGATTACGTTGATTGCTTTAAGGCACATCCATAATTGAGGAAATCTTCTTCTAGGGGCCTTATTATTGAGGATTGCTCACTTAATCATAATTCGAGATCCAAGATGGTTGTATAGATAACTCCCATGATCAATTGCAGCTTTCCAACTTGCAGCTAGGAGATTCTCTCGCTACCTTAATTCCTTTAGGATATTCTCATGCTCTAGATACTTCTTTAGTTTCTTCTCTTGAGTTAGTGCCTTTCATTGCTATTGTAGGTTTGTGGATGCCGCTGTCTCTCAACTAATCCATCTCAAGTATATCACACATTTATGTTGGGCCTCTTGATACTTCAATAGCAAAGCCCAGAGGGATAATATGTCAACCTATTGAGAGTCCAACTATTGCTCCTTTCTATTCTACTAGTGAAGTTACCATTATGCTACCCATAGCTACTTATGAGATCTAATGTGGAGGTTATGGATGACTCTATCTCGATTCAGCCTCAATATTCAATAAAAAATTTAACTGGTTATATAAGGATAAAAAGTTTCAATTTGTGTTTTTCGTCGAAGCACAAATTTAAAAAAAAAAAATCCCATGTCACCTAGATTTATGAGATTCCAAACTAGATGCAATAACTCTATGAGTGAATTCAGCATTCTAGATTTAGCTAGTGTCTGGATGTGGGACTCCTCCATTCTACTTATGAGATCTAATGTGGAGATATTTATAACTCAACTTACAAGTTGTATTGATCAAATTTTGTTTCTTTCTTTCCATGTTGGCATCTATTTGTAATTGCTTGCATATATAGCATTTTAAACAGCTAGTTATTAAAGTTCATCGCTTAAAAAAATCTCAAAAGCACAGAAGTGCATTAAAATGTTTATATAAACCCATCATCATATGAATAAGACAATCACCCAAGGGATCCAATGGCAACATTATAACAGTTCAAACATGTCTCTCAGATTATAAACCTGATAAGAATATAATTGCTTTGGCAGATGCTTTCCTGAAGTTGTGAACAAGATGCACAAAATGCTGTAATACTTGAACATTTAAAACTGGAATCATATCAAATCAACTAATATCTGTAAGATTGGCAGAAAGATTACCTTTCCCACTCATCAGGACATATTATATCGGCTTTAAATCGCATTTCTGCTTTCAAGCGTGACTTGGCAGATATTGATTGGGCTCGCTTTTCAAAGTCTTCCTGCTATGATGCATTTGGCGTCAAAATACACAAGCCAAGGCTATTAAAAACACGATCACAGTCAATTGCTAAGAGAATATAAGCAAGGTTAGTTCGGAAAGTTATAAGAGTTTTTTAAGTTTAAACATTCGTGATACCAAACGAATGATTCACAGCAGGTGACAAGAGTGTTGCAAATGAAACATATCTAAACAATAGTAAAATAAAAATTAAAGGAAAGATTAGCAGAAAACTAAAAAAGCTGCATGTAAATGATTTGTAGAAGCTAATCAACAGTTAAATCTACTATTTTGCAGGCAAATCATGCATACTATCAAGAATCAACTTCATTATCTCAGATTCAAACGTTCATAACACCTCCAGCAGATGGCTCTGAATATTGAGGCTCGAAAGAATGCCATAGACGTTTGCAAGCTACTCAGAAAGTTATGCTACCAACAACTAGTATAAATGTCATACACAGTTGTACAGGATATAGCAGCAACTTTTTCATACACAAAGCTTGTGGTATTAGTGAAATCCAAGGCAGTACGAGATAAGAAGGTAATAGACGTGTTTATAAAGAAGATAGACAAAATAACATTAGTTCGGAACTAGAGGCTTACTTGTTGAAAAGGAAGAGGTTTTGGTGTCGGGGGTTAAGGTAGAAGGTTAGGAAAAACATTCTTGAAAGAGTTAGAATTTGGATCCAGATTACTATTTTTCATGCGACTATAATCAACAATCAAATCATATGCAGAAGCAAAAAAAATAGATGACACTAACATCAGTTTGCTATTGCAATTCTTGAAAATGGTGGTTATGTTCAGTGAATAAATAAACAGACTCAACTAAAATACTCAACAAACTAAGTGGTAGCTTTCTGATGTAAGAATACATTAACTAATTTATCTGAAGGTCTCGATTACTGGCAAAGTAGATTGAATCATACTCCAATTGAAGGAAGCGATGTAGTAGTCTTCTGAGGAAGTCCAAAGCCTTTTTTCTCAAGAGGGACATTCTTATAAGCACCCCAGATAACAGGAATCAACAAAACACCACGTTTTACAAGTTCAGTTCTGAACCTCTCAGCCTTCTGCATTGCTCTAGATACAGTTTCCTTGTCCCCTGCCAAAATAACCTGGAGTATTTTTCAGAAAAGCAAAAACCTACATAAAATCCCTGTGACTAAAGCATATTTACAGTGAGTGGTCCAGTGGTTTCCAACAGTTCATTTAGCAACAACCAGAAACAGGAAAATGCTTGCGGTGGTTCAAATTGACGTTGCAAAAGAGGAGAACGAAATACTAACTGGCCTAGCTGTATCTCGCAGCTGCACAAGTTCAACAATTCTGTTGGTAGAAAGTCGCAGGGGTAATCTTGATAGTGTTTCATCCCTTGTTATTTGAGAAAGCTGCTCTTCTTCTTTTTTGTTGTCCCAGAAAAACAATCCCGCAAGTATAATGATGCCTACACATTGCTGATTCAGAAACCTGATCTATTCAAGAAAGCAAGCAAGCAAATGGAGCAAAATTAAATTTCAAGCAAAATGGTGATGAAACTTGTTTCTTTATTGCGGTAAAAGTAGACTCACGAATAAAAACAAGGAAAAGGTCCCATAAATGAGATTCATTTAATTTTATGTTCTCAAACTAAAATTAGACAGTACAATCACAAATAAATATTTTGCAAAAGAAACCAAGAAGAAATAGAGGTCAGTCTGACTGGAGGTCCGGAGGTATTCTTTTCTAGGAAGTTTTCTGATCAGCTCCACGGAACAGTTGCATCATCTAATGCGCCTTCATCTTCTTTAAATAGGCTATGTTTCAAGCATTACATCATGCAATTAGATTACAGAGAACATTCTAGCACGCTAAAAGTTCCCAACATTGCCTTCAAGCATGTTAGTTTACAGGTCAAAAGTTCAAAAACTTGCAAATCTACATCGCAAAGCATAATTGGTGGAAAATCACAATAAGATCAATATGGTAGTTAAACGAGAAAATGGCTAAATGATAGGAAGGATTTTCAGCTAACAGTGAAGCAGCATAGAACAAGAGTGGGAAACGAAACAGCTTTCAAACAGCAATATTGATAATATATGAGGATATAACGCTTAGCTAAGTCAACAATAGAGAAAACTTTTCAAGGAAATATAATTTACAAATTTACTTTCAGGTTGTAATATAAATATGTATTGATACAAATGTGGGCTCCAAAAATTCATGGCCCAGTTATACTAAGAGAGTTCAATGTTTTCTGGTCAAATTTTCGTAAGGCAAGTTGAAGATAACACAAACTAGAGATTTTGCCCTCATTTTGTGGAATTTTTATTCGGTCCTCCCACCTGACGTAGCTCTACATTCGGTAGTCAATAATATGTCGCCACGTGCTCTTACTCTTTACCGCGCGGCCCGACGACCTGACTCGGACCGGAATTTTGCTCGGTATTGCTAGGTATTACTCAGTATTGCTAGGTATTGTTTTGCAATAATGAGAAATACCGCTCTGTGAAGACCAATACCTAGCAATACCGAGCAATACACAAACTCCCGGGTCCGTTCCGGGTCGGGTTGTCGGTCAGCACGGTAAATAGTGAGAACACGTGGCGCCTGTTTACTGCTCACCGAATATAGAGCTACGTCAGGTGGGAGGACCGAATAAAAATTCAAGTGTGAGGCCTTTACAAGATTTAATTCAAATTTTCTCATAAGCGCAAGTCGCTATAGTTAATTACCCATTCTGATGATGAAAGGAAACTTTCGATTAAAGCTAATATTAGATAGGCACTAAGTGCAAATCATAAATTAGCACTGTTTTGATCATAAAATTAAATAAAATTTACAGTCATCATCTTAATGTGGATAGTGTGGAAATGGTGTGAAATCGAACAAGATTTCATTAATCCATTACCTCAAGTTGTCATGAACCATGGTTTAATTAGTAAGAGTGGATCATAAACCTAACATGACTTCAAGAACCATGAGTTGCATCATCCACAAGAACCTTTAGATCTATGGCGGATATTTTTATGAAAGGACAAATATAAGTCGACCTCAGCTAACAGAGGGTTTTATACCCTGTCAAATATAACCTATGATTCCGTAAGGCAAATTAAATTTAAGATAAGACACTACCTAAATATTTCACTCTTATTTTGTGAAAACTTTATGATATGACTTCAAGTTTCTTATAGTTGTAAGCCCCTACAGCTAATTACCCCTTCAAGTGATGAGATAACTTTTGATTAACATTATTAGTTAGGTATGCACTAATTATCGAGCATATAGTAGCAGTAACTTTTTATGTTGGGGTTTTGAATTTAACACCTTGCACTTAAAGCGAATGGTAAGGAGAACAATAACAAACTTGACTAAGATCACATTATTTCTTTGTCTTGGGTTTCGTGATCCCTAATCTACGTGGTCAGAGGAGGTAGTCGACACAAACTGACTGGATGATTCTTGTCAGCAACCATGGGTTGCTTCATCCAAGGGCACCTTGTAGACATGGGGTGGATGGTTGTCTATGAGGACAGATTCGAGCCAAACCTAGCTAACAAAGGACTTGATGCTCTATCAAGTATACCCTATGATGCATTACTCTGGGTTTTAAGCTATTAGGGAACATACGGGCTCTGAATAATACTGTAATTTAATAATGTCATTTTTGCAGTGAAATCATCCGGTTAGAGAGCCCGAATCATAATAATTTACATGTGTCATTTTGGTAACAAAACCATTTGTTAGATGAGACAATTAGATATCATTTGAGAATGAATCTTAGCAATATGCTTTCAACAAAATATTCACTCTTTGTGAACTAAATTTATTTTCAAAGTCATCATCCTCAACAAACAATTGCAGAGGGTTGATGAATTTTACTTTAAGTTTTATTGGCAGTAGGTTTTATCTAAATATTTTGAATTTTATAAATTTTTATATTCTTATATTTTGCCTGAATTTAGCCCAAAATAATTATTGAGAAACTTTAAAGCATTTTTTAAATAGAATCCCCTTAGGTTGAAATTCACTATCAACACGATGATCATCAGAGTTATCAGGTAATTTTATTTTATTATTTAACCCTATCAACTTTGTCTATTTGTCAACAGAGGAACAAGCTAGAGTTTGGAGCTTGCATTTCATAAAGAAAATTTTCTTGTAAAAAGATACTAAAGGTATAATGAAAACGTAAAAACATTTTTTGTTGGTGGGTTTTATTATAACGTGTTTATTTACTAAATTCAAATCTTGTCGACTCCAACACATTTCAAGATAGTCAGACTTAAAATTAAAATTTCTCCTTTAATTTTAACCCGCATAGCATACCAGGGCACTTAATTCAAGTGTTTAACACATTCAACAAAGAAAATGTGGGTTAGAGCTGTCAATAAATAACCCAACCCATCAAACCGTCCCAGACCCAACCCGAAAAATCAAAATTCGGGTTTATCTATCAATTCAATTTTGAATAAAAAAAGACCAATTTAATTTTTTTCCTTAAATTCTTTTGTTTTTTAACATAATTGTTCTCATTTTTATCAATTAACCTAAAATCTATGGTTGACAAGTTAATGAAAATAATTATTTTAATTAAAACGGGTTATCAAGTCAGTTTGAGTTGCTAGCAGGTTGGGTTTGGGTCCATTTTTTAATCAATTTATTAAACGTGTAGGGTTCGGGTTGATCGAGTTCATGTCGAGTCAATTTAATGTAAGAGCTTATGTATTCATCATATTAGTCAGAGCACATGCGGACTTGTCATTTACTCATTTTTAAGAGTTATTTTCTTGATTAATTTTTAGTGCAATTATGTCACATATTTGCACAATTTTTAGTGCGCTCGCAATATGCATGTTTATAGATTCGATGCATTTGCATGTTTCTAAAATAATTTTAATAGAATTTGAAGATTGCCTCGAGATGCATATATAACTTGAAAACATTCATATTTGATTATTTTACACGCATTCATGACCCTTGTGTGAATTTTCAAGAAGTCAAATCATAATTGAGAGTTGCCTCGTAAAATTCATGAAAGTGGCAAAATTATGCAATTTTTTATTTTATATTTCTATTTTGCAATTTAAAAGTTTAAATGATCACCTTCTTTTCACTTGGATGAAAATTTTCCAAATTCGACGGCGAAGAAGGAAAATTCATGACAAGTTAGAGCAGCACATTATTTTGCATGTCGTACTTTCATCATTTTAATTTTATTTGATGGCTTGGGGTCCCCGAGGGCTCATTCCATCCATATAAATATGAAGGGTAGGGGTATTCATTTCACACATTCCTTGGCTTGATTGAGTTCACTGTCGTGAGTTCTTAGGGTCTTGTTCGTACTCTTAGCAAGCTAGCAAGTTTTGAACAGTTCCCTGTAAGTCCAATATTTTTGTTCACTGCTCACATTCTGCTCTTTTAATGTTATTTCCATTGCATTTTAAGTGTTTAACTTTGTATACTTATTGCTTTAATTTGCTGCATTTTGCTAGTATTAAATTTCTTGTATGCAATTTTAGACTCTATTTAGTTAAACTCTGACAACCTCCTAACATCTCCACCATGTAGGGGAATTTACAGGGAATTTGGGCCTATCCACCACGGTGAAAAAAAGGTATGGTCATCCTAAGACAAAGCAGCCGGAATTCTCAAAAATCTAACCACACTAAGAAACGTGCATATGAGTGGCTGCATCACAAATTTAAAAGGTAAATTACCAAGTCGTATTGTGGACATTGTTAACAAGTTTCATTTCGTCATGCTTAAGAAAAGCATGTATAAGGCTCTACTCGCTGCGTTGAACGTGTCATTAACAAGTTTAACCTGTGACATCGTGAATATTGCCGATGAGCGTCCTCCCACCATGCTAAGAAAAATATATATGAGCTCAACTAGCCGCATTGAACACATCACCAACATGTTTCACCCATGACATCACGAATGTCCCCAACAAGCTTCCTCCCACAACATTAAAGAAAGCATGTACAAGGCTCCATCGTGCCAAGGGCATTGCCGATAAGTTTTGAGGCCTTTTTATGAGGTTACATTTTATATCTATGCATGCAAAGAAGATGAAATGGAGACAAGACTATGAAGTTGCAAGCAAGCACACAAAAAAAATGTATTTTTATATTTTTTTAGTGTTATTATTATTATTATTATTTTTAGAGAGTGGGATTCTCCTCTCTTTTTTAGGCAGAAAAGAGGCATTTGAAACAGAGAGGTGTTTCTCTTTTTAGAGAGAAAGAGAAAACTAGAAATTTTTAGAGAGAGAAATGGACAACTAGTGAATGAAATGAATTTCTCTCTTTGTTTATAGAGAGAAAAAAAGGAGAGGGGATGTTTTTAAGGTCATTCTCTCTCTATTTAGAGAGAGATAAGAGGGTTATTTCTCTCTCTTTCTCTCTGTTGAGAGAGAGAGAGAGCTGTTGAGAGAGAGAGAGAGGTGAATATTTTAATAATTCT